CTGATGTCCATTCTGTTAAAACAGTGACTTAACTATGGTCGAGAAGAAAGTCATAGCCATCTGCCAGTCGGGTGGAGAATTCCAAACCAATATGGATGGCACACTCTGTTATGCAGGCGGCGATGCTCATGCCATGGAAATCGATGACAAGATGAAGTTTAAGGATTTCAAGTCAGAAGTAGCCGAGATGTTCAGCTCCAACCTCGGCAGCATGGCCATCAAATATTTCCTTCCTGGTAACAAGAAGACCCTCATCAGCATCTCCAATGACAAAGACCTCAAACGCATGATCAAGTTCCACAACGACTCTGCCACCGCCGATATTTATGTCATGACGGAGGACAATGCTGATCCGGATGCATCCCACATGCCTGCCAGTAGGTAAAATAGACTAGAATGTTGAGTTCAATGCATGAAAACATGGAGCGTTAGATAGATTAATTGAATAAATATACCTTCATTTTGCAGATCGAGTCGAACAACATTATCAGGAGCCGGGCTTCCACACGAAAACGCCTCCCCTAGCATCATGAACAACATGGCGGACGACATAAATATGCCGAGCCTCCTGGACGGCGCCGTCTTCGATGTGGGGCCCACTGATGGCGACCGTGATGCACCGTTGACCGAGGAAGAGTCGGCTCTGCGCATCGAGTTCCCCATGCCAATTTCTGTGGACGTCTCGTACGAAGAGAAACACTCCAAGGCCGCGGAGCAGTGGCAGAACAGCATCACAGGCGTGGGCCAGAGGTTTAACAGCGTGCACGAGTTCCGTGAGGCCCTGCGAAAGTACGCAATCGCCCACCGGTTCGCGTTCAAGTACAAGAAGAACGACAGTCACCGCGTGACGGTGAGGTGCAAGGCCGATGGTTGTCCCTGGAGGGTTCACGCCTCCCGCCTCTCGACTACTCCCCTCATCTGCATCAAGAAGATGAACCCAGCCCACACGTGTGAAGGCTCAGCCCTGGCCACGGGCTACCAAGCCACTCGCAGCTGGGTTGCCAGCATCATCAAGGAGAAGCTCAAGGTTTTTCCCAACTACAAGCCCAAGGACATCGTGAACGACATCAAGCAGGAGTACGGTGTCCAGCTCAACTACTTCCAGGCGTGGCGAGGGAAAGAGATCGCTAAGGAGCAGCTGCAGGGCTCGTACAAGGAGGCGTACAGCCAGCTCCCGTTCTTCTGCGAGAAGATAATGGAAACGAACCCGGGTAGCCTCGCCACCTTCACAACCAAGGACGACTCGACCTTCCACCGCCTTTTCGTCTCTTTCCGAGCCTCCCTTTTCGGTTTCGAGCAGGGATGCCGCCCTCTGCTCTTCCTGGACAGCACTTTCCTCAAGTCCAAATACCAGGGATCCCTTCTCGTAGCCACCGCAGCCGACGGGGACGACGGGTTCTTCCCGGTCGCCTTCGCAGTAGTCGACGCGGAATCGGAGGACAGCTGGCGGTGGTTTCTGCAGCAGCTCAAGGCCGCGATCCCCACCGCTTGCCGCGGGCTGACGTTCGTGGCCGACCGGGAAAAAGGGCTGAGGGAGTCGATCGCAGATATTTTCCGGGACGATGACGTTTTTCACGGCTTCTGCCTGCGGTACCTCTCGGAACAGCTCGTCCGTGACTTGCAGGGGCAATTCTCGCACGAGGTGAGGCGGCTAATGGTGGAGGACTTGTACGGGGCGGCCCACGCGCCCACCCCTGAAGGGTTCCAGAGGTACGTAGACAGCATAAAGAACATCTCGCCGGACGCGTACAACTGGGTGATGCAGAGCGAGCCCGTGCACTGGGCGAATGCGTTCTTCCGGGGAGCAAGGTACAACCACATGTCGTCTGATTTCGGGGAGCCGTTCTACGGGTGGGTGGCGGAGGCGCATGAGCTGCCCATAACCCAGATGGTCGACACCGTCCGCGGAAAGATTGCCGAGCTCATGTACGCCCGCCTGGCGGACTCGACTGGGTGGGCCAGCCGGATGACCCCGTCCATGGAGGAGTTGCTCGAGATGGAGAGTCTCAAGGTCAGGACTCTTCAGGTGTTGATATTGGGCGGTAACAGGTTCGAGGTTCGTGGGGATACTGTAGAAGGTGTCGACGTCGACAGCTGTGAGTGCACGTGCAAGATGTGGCAGATTATGGGGATTCCTTGCTGTCACGCGATTGCCGTGATCGGGTGTCTGGGGCGGGACGCGTACGACTATTGCTCGAGGTACTTCATGGGTGAGAGCTACAGGTTGACGTATTCGGAGGTGGTGAACCCGATTTTGGGTTCGGAGGGGGGGACGTGGGAGACGGGCGGGTGTCGGGTGACGGTGAACCCGCCGCCGACGAGGAGGCCGCCGGGGAGACCGACGACGAAGAGGGTGAGCTCCTCGCAGGATGGCGGGAGGCGGCAGCTGCAGTGCAGTAAGTGCAAGGGGACGGGCCACAACAAGTCGACATGTAAAGGTTTTCTGTTGGAATGTTGAGTAAGTATGTGATATATATCTGTGTTGGTCTCGGTAACAATTCAGTGTTCAGAATGCTGTTTTTTAGATTCTGGTGTTAGTCTGTGTTGTGACTAGTGATGTTCTTTTTTTTGTCTTTTGGGTCTGACCTCAATAAAAGAAAAGATAAAGTTTGTTCTCTTGTGTTAATTTACTCCATGCTCTCTTTTGAATATACTTTTGAGGGTTGTGTTTAGTTTAGTTATTTCTAGCTCTCTCTTGGAGGTGTAGTGTGTAAAGTGCAAATTGTCATATATAATGCATACAAATAAAGTTTAAGTGAAACTAAACATCAAATGAAGTGAGTGTTTAACGTGTACAAGAATCGTTGAAGTGAACAAACGATATTTTTATTTAGGCTTATTAATATATTGATATATGTTCAAAATATATTTATTTCAACATACATATCATTACAATACTTGTCAATAATTAATTATTAATTATAGATGACTTTATACCGAAATTGATATATAATATTATACAATTATATGCATATATTTATTTTTCCATTGTTTGGCTAATTCTAAGAAAAAAGGAAAATGATAAAAATGTTCACGACATTGTGCTTGTTTAAAAGCATTTTTTGAAAAGTCCAAGTATTAAGTGGATCCTATTAAAAATAAAAAATTAAGTTTATCTCGCTCTATTATGTATTTGTACTATACTTTTTTTGAAAAGTCTATGTATTAAATAAAAATATGCAAAATAATCTTTTTATAAAGTCCTCATCTTTTATTTCTATATAATGGACTTTTTCGAGGAATAGTTTATTCATAAATTAATTATCATTAAACATAAATATTTATTTAAATGACTTTTACGTCCAAAATTCATTTTAGAATTATTTCCAAAACAAGCTCATTATCTCTATTGAAATAGTACCCAGAAT